GGGGGGCTTGTCAGCGTTGGTGAATAAGCAGTTTTAAAAAGGGACTGAAGATCCTATATACTTCACTCATCTGCTAACAGATGCGCTACGTGTGATTAGTTCAACTAACACAATTTTGATGTGTCAAAACATTTGTTTTTGTTTTTGCCAAACGCCAGATAAATGATAAATGACAGAAAAAGTGAATATATATTTTAACAGTAGCTGTTGCTTATGTCCCAGAATTGGTTGTCCACAAAAGGTCCGAAAAAGTCATTACAGAAAGTCCAACAATTGCTGCAGTTCAAGGTATGCTTTCCACGAAAGTTCCTGGGAAAGTGCCAACCGTCTGTTCCATGATTTTATTATTTGTCCCGGAGAACAGACGAAGTAGAGAATGAAGGAATTCTTTGGCATTACAACAGTATAAGGACCAACAGCTTTGGCATCCTTTTTTTGTTATCACCACCCTCCCGAACAAGATATTCATTAAAAGGCAGATGGAAGATCCAAAGCTTATAACGCCAAGGCAACGTTTCTTTTAAAAAGCGCATTGTATTTAACCAGGGAATCGGATATAATTCCCTGATTTAACACGCAATTAAACTGTTTACATATTTTAATGCGTTCAATTATGAGTGTATTTTTTATCATTACTCAAAGTAAAAAATGCAAATTTTGCTTTCATTTGCTTGAGCAGCATTTTCATTACGTTTTGATAAAGAAAGTGATAGATCTTTGAAATATTAGAATAGGCTTTTTGAATGAAAACTGAAAGGTGTTCAAGACGAAGAGAAACTAACGCGGAAGAAGAAAAAATTTGAGTTTGTATTCACAAATTGTTTGAGATAAGGCCTATTTACCATGACTAAAATATGAAAATGGAACATCGTGGTCATCAGGGATTTTAAAATTTTACCACCAGGATGTAAACTTATATATATAGCCTTAGTTGGTTTTACTTTTGGCAAGAGAGGTCGTGACTCACTCGCCTATTCGATGACAGGGCGAAGCAGGATTTGTATTGTTCTTTCCTTCACTTCCTAATAGACTGCCCAACAGTGCAGGAAAAACCCACAACCACAGTGATGAACAAGACATCACATGCGGCAGCATCTCTAACAAGACACCTGCAACTGCTTAGAAACGAAACGCTGGAGTATTTTATATATAAGTTACTCAACACTCGGGATTTGTTTGTTTTCACACGTGCACCAACTTAACGCTCGCTGACCGCTTCGTGTACCATCAAGATATACAGGTAGCCTGGCTCAAATAGGAATATGGCCGACACAGAGAACAAGGAGAAAACGTCAATCACAGAAAAGTTTAACGACAATTTGGATGAAAACTCCGGCGAAAATCATTCTTTTTTGGGAGTATTCCGAGGCAGAAATGTTGACGAGCCTTACACTCACTATATGAAGAAGAAAACGTTTGCGCAGGGGTAAGATGTCATATATTCTGTGCAACAGTTTGCGTTTATGCATGCTTTATGAGTTCTTCAAAGAAAGATTCTTTCGGAATTTTTGGTGTCTATGCATGTATTGACAATGTTATATGGTATAAATTTAATATCTTTCATTTCTCCAGGCTGTTAGACAAGGCTTTGCTCGCAGCTAATGCCAGTCAGTTAAAGGTGGTATGGCAGTTGAAAGGCCAGGAGCCGTTCTTTGAATTACAAGTTTCCATGCTGATCGGATCTATTATTTTACAGTTGATAGTGGCACTTCTCCTTTGGTACGAGGTAGGCCTACGTTACGTGTGTGCAAAAGGATGTTTGAGGGAAAGAGAGAAATAACTTCGTCCATGGTGAACGCATTCATCTAGTTCATTCTTAAATATATTTATGTTTTTCTTTTTCTCGTTTTAAAATGTGTTGCATCTATGTAAAATTAGTGATATTGCTCGTCTTTTTTCAGACGATGACAAACCTGCACGACCCACCAAATCGACTCAACTACGAACACAGAGATGAGTACGAAGTGGCATTACGTGACTGGTGGAACAATAACGGACAGAGAAACCGAGCGCGGCACGTCGGCAGCACAATATCCACACTCTTCATTATTGTTATTTTGTTTATGAATATCATCATTGCTGTCTTTGGAGTGAACATTCCTCCAGCCGAAAAACACTTTAATGGCAACATACCCATTAATGAATCATTAGAGCGAAACTAGCTAATGGCACTGTTTTCAGTCTATATTTGTTTCAGTTTTTTTTATCTAAAAATGAGAGGAGCGGGTGGGTGATAAAAACGTCCCGGACTTATGACTTTCATCTATATAATTATAATTCAGTGAAATGACACTGTATACTACTTTATGATGTTGCCTCTAGCTCATAAAAGATCCTAGTTTCATTCACACTGAAGAAAAAAAGTACAAATATTTCCTCTTGTATAGAACAAAATGCTCGTAGAGGTAGAGCTGTATTGGATGTTGGGTCATACTGTCCTTCTTTCTCGATCTTCGTCACCTCAAGGAGTAACTCCTTGGTCACCTAAGCCAATTACTTTAGGCATCTTGGTGTAAAATGACTCAATATCATGTTCTGTTCCACCGAGTGGACGGTGTGATCGTGAAACCTTTGCATCACAATTCACAAGTAAACACGAAAACTCATGTACTGATTTGTACAAACATTTTATTTCGCAGGTTTCGTTATGAATATGCAAATGTTGCATACAATGTTGACTGACATGTCAAACATTAATGCCACGATTCTAGTCTGTAGGTCATTTGAATATTGAAACAAAATGAAGAGAACGAATAGTAAATTGAACGCTCCATTTTGCAACAAAACGCGTATCTATAACAAATTTAATTAGCTGGCATAAGCATCAAATGCTCATCAGATCCTTACTATTTTGTTGTGATTTTGTGATCAAATAAAAATCTGGAATGTCTTGATGTGTTGTAGTGTGACTTTTTTAAATGCAATATTCAAAGGGAGTAGACTATAAAATGACTGGATTGCCCTCACATGAATCCATTTAACATCAAAAGAGCACACCTAACACAACAGAAAAATCTTATAAATTAAATTTGGTTATAATTGGGTCTGAATATACATCTCTCTGCCCAAAGTAATAAAATAAAATCAACTGAATCCATATAAACTTTGGATATGAAAAACCAATCTTAAACTTGACTTTTAAAATGTTGATCGCTATTAATATGTTTGACAACAACATAGACACTTTTCTTTTACATCTAATACAATGACCATGTCATCATTTAAAGCACTGAGCTTCTAAGGGCACATTAGCTGTAAGTATATCCAGCTCCCATTGGTAATACAAGTCAATTGTTTAGAGTACAATATACAGTACTCAGGTAGATAAAGCTTTACCCTATTTGGTTTGCTAGCCACTCAAAGCAAGCACCAAAAGCAGTTGCTTTTTTTGAAACACAAAACTGGCCTCTTATCCAAATACATTTGAATATCAAGTCCTAGTAGTGTGAATAAAAAGGAAAAACTGCACAGTTATCTTGCCATTTATAGCACCTCTTTACGAAGTCTAGCTTTCTGAAGAATCTGTGTTCTTTTTCTTCTCTCTACTGCTTTATTACCCACAGTCTGAGTCAGGGCAGGCAGAGACACTTTCTCAGAGGAGGCAATATAGGCAACTTCAGGTCTGAAATGAAGAAAAATAAACTGAAAATAACATGAGTATCAGAAATGCTTATATAGCAATCATAATTACTGATTTTAAAAATTCACTCCCTTATTCATCTGGAAATATTAATTTCAACAATCCTGCATTGTTCATGGTATAGAGCTCCTTGACATTGACCATTTCACAGTTCTCCAGCATTTCACACTGCGCATGCCCAGGAATAGCCTTGTGGGAAAGGTCATGCCAGTGTCCTTGATTGCCTCTACATGGTAAATACAGATTTTTGACTGCAACTAGCTTTTCTACATAACATCTGCTATTTTTTTCAGATGGGGGCATTACATGTTTTAGACATCTGTATGATATAATTCAGGGCAGATGAATGAGTTCTCATTTAACTGAAACTACTTTTTATATGCTACAGATATGAAAATTGTTAAGAACTTCCCCTAAATGCAAAAGCACAACGGCTGACCCTTCAACCACGAAATGGTCAAAAGATGGTGGGACCCAAGAAGTTTTTTTCTTGAAAAATCATACAACAAAAATATTGTGCACATTAACAAAGAAATAGGCATGTTTACCAACTTACAATTTCCTTCCAGGATGTTTGTGTATTTTTGGCAATCTAGCTTGTGGGTCCAATGCAACTACTTCCCCCTTTTCTTCTTCTGCTACATAGGCCTTAGCTAGCAGGTATGCATCTGGGGTCCACTTGTGAGAATACAACACATCACGCAGATCTGACTTCAACCTATTCAACTGAAAGATAATCCAAATTTATGAAAGTTGGTAATGAAAACATTTTTTTATGCAACGGAGGTAAGATGCACATATTTTTAGCCTAATTCATCAAGCTTTTTCCAAACATTATGCACAAAAGATGGATAAGATGGATTACCTCATGTGACTGTTTCTCGTTGACATGCTGCATGTGCCGAATGATCATCTCGCACTCCTGTAGAGTAGGTTGCCGTGGAGGCTGGTTGGCAGGGTGGATTTGCAATGGGTTCAGACTGGCTGTGATGCTACTCATATCTATAGGTGTGTTTTGAGGTTGGCCATATGCTGCTGGGGATTCATGGCTCTGACTGGACACCTGTTGCTGTCTAAAATTGTAGCAATAACATTCCGTTGCAACAAATTTTCATAAAAACATGACATGCTACATCTAAGTTGCAAAGTAAGATTAGCGCATAGTTAAGATTTTCACTGCAAAGCTTTTAAACTTCAAACATTGGGTCTTATGTTGCATTTCACCTCATTGTCAGATTGTTCCAATTGTGCATTTAATTTTGATAATTATATTTAGTTATAAGGTTTTTTTTACTATAAATTTATGTTGACAAGAATATAAATAATCTGAAGTCCCCTGCAGAGTTGATACTGAATTATTCATTATAAGTTATTTACAACTGAATATTAAAAACAAACAGTTGTACCCAAAACCAAATGATGATACTGAAGTAATTATTTCTGAAAATGGCTCTTACTGAAAATAATAGAGGCAATATTACTTACAGTTCTTTACTTTTGCTTTGTTCTTGTTCCAAAAGCTGTTTGAGATAAGTATTGTGGTTCCTTGCCTCCCTTAGAGTCTCTTTTAAGTCTTTTATTTCTTCTTCTAAGAAAATGTGCTTTAATTCTGGCTCTGAAATCAATCAATAAATCAATAAATAAATTAAACCTCAATACAGACATGATCAAATCAATCAGTTATTTATATTTGTAGATCAGCTAAAAAAGGCCAAAGATGACAGAAAACTATGAAGATGTATCACATCAACAAACAATGCTGGAAAAGAGGAAAATTTTGAAATTCTAAAACTGCTGTGTTGGACATATATTGACAAATATGTGCACGGTATTGACTACCAAGAAACAATGAATATTTCATAACTATGAAGATCTTGGCTATAATGAGTGCTGATGGTTTTGCTGTTTCCTCACCTTGTGACTGGTCTGTTACAGAATCCCCCTCTGCTGTTCTTGACCTCAAGGATATTGAGCTTTGCTCTGAAATAAAATCCAACCAATTACTTGAAACATTTAGAATTAAAAGGCCGAAAAACTTGAGAGATTTAATATAATCAAGTCACTTGTCAAGCAACATAATGGTTTGAAAGGTACAAGAGAAATTATAACACAGTTTTAGAAATGTTAGAAGTATAAAATAATGGGTAAAACAAAGTTTACCTTTATCTGTAGGTCTGTCAGGCACTTCCAGTTTTTGTGAAGTTGCATTATTGGCACTTGAGGAATTTAACTGCTGATTCTTTTGAATCATAATCAACTCAAACTGGAGATCTGAAGAAGAAAAAAAAAGCTGGTTAATTATCAATATGAAAGGGTAATATGGAATCAGATCATATCCTTTTTATTTTCCTTACCTTCAAAGCTACAAAGAGTAAGTAATATATGAATACTATATGAAAAGCATTCTTATCACCAATTTAGCATACTGTGAATTATTCATCAAAATATAAAGCCCTCCTTAATTCAGGTTTAACACCATAATCAATTACTTGATTGAGACCTGTTGATGTATTGTTTCATGATGTCAATATCAAATCAATGAATACCAATTTCACATTTACCCAAAAGACTCTCATAAGAAAGAGTAAGATCAATAACTAATTAAGTCAGTATTCTCCCATAATTCAATAAACGTGTGTGAAGTCAAGCAATTTCAATTAGCACCACTGCAAATTAACTTTTATTACTGGAGAATTACAAGACTAAATCTTTTGTAGGCATTGAAGCAGACTGATTAAATGTAAATATTCCAGACGTCCTCAACACAAAATGTATCTCCTCTTAATTACCTTTGTTTTCTTTTTTCAGAGCTTCTATTTCTTCATGCAAACTAGAAAGCACCTCCTTATGTTGATGTTTTAGAAATCCTATGCTTTTTTCAAGGTACTGAATCCTGGTCACTGGATCCATGCTTGTAAAGTCTAGATCTCTGTCTGACTCTGAAGAGCCAGGAGGGTTGCTAGCACCTAGATCCGCCATTGGCATTGGGTTAAGTCTGTCTTTTACAAATGGCTTTGGATATCTGGCCTTGTCCAATGTATGAACTCTTGACCACTGTGGGAGATTATTCAGGGGTGGTAGCTGCGTTTGAGCAGACATCAGTATTATTGTTTCTCTATTCTAATCTGCTAAAACTATATGTGCTTCTAAGTTAGTGCAGACTACTATGTGAGCCACGCTATCCAGTCAATTCTCAGTAATTTTCTGTTCAATGGTATCTGAAAAGAAAAAGACAAGAGTAAACTATAAATTTAAGGAGATGGTTGTTTCCTGCAGAGCCCTAAATTTTACCTGCACTGATTTTCATTTCATTGTCACTTCAATCTTCTTGAAACATTTCATTACTATTATAACCTCCTTTTTAATAATATAAAATAGTCACCTGTTTGAAATTAAGTTTGCATTTCAATAGTACCAAGATACATTGGTATGAAGCTTTATTGATATCAAAGTTCTTTACTCTAAGGTTCACTGGTCCAATTTTTTATGGTTTAATTGTCTCTAAGTTCAAAGGAAATTGATGTGTTATTGCCCTAACAACCTCATATTTATAAATGAAGTCAACTAGGAAATGAAAGAAAATCTAATTAATTGATGTATTAAGGATTTTATGCAATAAATGTACAGGCATAATGCAGCCTCTCATATTTGAACACAGCTGTCATTTTCAGACTAATTCAGCACATTGTCCTTGCAGAAATGAACTGGTAGTATTGGTAAAATGCTCAAGTGTTTTCATACAGCAGTTATACATTTGAATTTATATTAATTTTCAAAACTGTGGATGAGATATAAATAATGACAACAATAATATCAAACAATTCATAAAATTAATATTTAATATTCAAGCTCAGACAATGAAGCATCTGGTACTGGCATCACCTTTACCACAGTGTACCTGTAATTTAGGCCTATTAAATCTACATAATGTTAATTTAAATACCCAAAACTCCTTCTGCCCTCCACACAGGTATATCTTCTATGTATCAATAAAGCAGTAAATGTCCTAATATATATTTAACTAAACTAAGATAAAAATGGTTCTTACTCTGAAACAACTGCTTCAACTAGTCCTGTCTCCATTACGATGGCTGCTGCTTTTTTCTCTTCACTTTGGCATGCACAAACATTTGGCTTTATATGCAAATGAGAAGTTGCTTAGGCCAAGTTGGGAGAAACCAAGAACAGGTCAAAGGAAAAATTGTGCATAAGACAAGAAAACAAATGCATTATTTCAATAAAATAAATGTGTAGATGATTCATTTATTTCTAAAATCTCAAGATAAAAGAAAAATGTGATTTTACAATATTTTTTTATTTTATTTCCAATTAGATTTTCCAACACGTTGAATTCTTCTATTAGAGGTCATCACTAAGGGGATTTGTTTACAAAACAAAGACAAAGACTAAAGTTAATGAGAAAATTATCTTTGTAGACGTTTCATATACATTATACATTCCAGAGCATGTTTTCTATTTTCTATAGCAATATGTAATGCAAGATACATATATTTTTGAAAAAATAAAATTCAAGACATCAACTTCCGGAATTCCTGTGTTGCTCATCTTGTAGAGATGGCAGCACTGCATCAAGTATGGCGGTTGATACAAAGTTCCTGTAAATTACATATGTGATTTGTTAGTGTGATAGTCACAAAACTGCAACGCACATTTACTTTTTCTTGTAAGTATCGAGACCTCGAGAAGAAATGTCACATGATTTATGGATATATTGAACTTCAAACCTTAATTTGAAGCGTTTAACCGTGAGTCCAAATAATCTCCTAGTAATAGTAATAAGACAATTTCCAGTTTAAGCATTTATGCCAGAGGCACACAGTAGAGTTTGTAAGATAAAGTTAAATACAAGTAAAAACTATCTCTATTTTGCACCTGAAATGAGTAGTGGTATCTCTTAATGTTTTCCATACCTCATGACTTCATTTAAAAATCAAATGATTTTGCTGCAGATACAATGTAGCATGTTATTCACATTATTGTTTGTTCCGTACATTCATTAATGTTTTTGATATCTACTACTATATGTGCTTATGCCGCACATTTAAGATCAAATTTAACAAAACACTACTTTCTATAAACTGTTTCATACATAATTGGCATAGAATATAATCTTACAAGAATGTATATTGGGGAATTCACTAAGTGATAAAATTATATTATACATATCTATTCCTCTGAAATAATAAAAAAACATAATATTTACCTTTGACACCCCAACCCTATCATTATGTAATGTTGTAATCAGCCGTGAGCCATGCATGGGTGACAACTTTACATTGATGCAAAGTTGCATTGTCCCATTGTTGTGATATCATTAAAATATAAATTCTGACATAGAAAATTGGTTTTATTTATTTTCATTTGCTCCACATAAATTTGTGTAATGACAACACTGTATAAAAGTTTATAATGAACCACATATCAACTTTGGCATTAGGTCAATATGTTTGTGTTGATATCATTTCTCTAAGATCAGCAAAACAACTTGGCCTCAGCCAAATGCAATTATTGTATTGTATTTTGTTTTCATTTTCAGATAAGAGTTGACGTAAAAAATGGCAGCAGTAAGTCACTTTAAGAACCAACTGCAGTTCAACCTAAATGTTCCACCTGTGGCATCTAATCTGGCTATGAGATTTCAGAAGCCAGAGGCAATTGTGGTTGAAAAACTATCCTCCAGTCCTCCCAGGAGGCCTCCACTGTTGACCACAGCCACACCACCAATTCAGCCTGCTTCAGCTTTCAAGTTTTCTGTGGTGTCAGAAGACAGTTTGACTGCAGCAGTGAGACTTGCTAAAAGGGATTTGAAAAAGAAAAAAATTGAGGAACAGTTTTATCTCTCAAGTTTGGCACATGAGGCAAAACAGACAGAGAAAGCTCAGAAAACACAGATTCCTAAGGTCAAAGTTAAAAAGAGCAAAGAATATAGAGAAAAAGTACAATCTAGACAAGATGATGTTAATGAAAAGCCACTTGTACTGCGAGAAAAAGATGCAAGGAACAAAAGTGTGAAACAGGCTAAAATACAAACACGTTCTAAAGTAAAGAAAAAGACAGATGTTGATGTCCCAAATATTATTGTTCACATGGGCAAAAAATCTTTGCCAGGTAAGATAACTAGTCAGTTATGTTGTAATAAACTGTCAAGTAAGAAAAATACTTTTTTGACTTATTATGATATTTGATATTTTCAAATTTGAACAGTTATAGCAATCATGAAATGCAGTTTGAATATAAATATACAGGTCCACAGTATAGTTGTCAAGAAAATGCTTCTTTTAATGTCTGATAACCAAAAGTTGGAGTTGATTTTACAGTATCAACACAGTCCCCACCTACACGAGACACTGATGGTTATGTTCCTATGGTATCTCCAAGTGCTCGACATGCACAGGAAATAAGTAGGCTAAGAACTGAATTACAGAGATACATGGAACAGATTAGGAAAAGTGAGAATCGGAATGGTAGGTTAATAATGAAATTAGTCACTGGTTTGGTATTGTTGCCTATGTCAAATCTGTAAAGGGAAATTGTAGAATTATATTTTATTTTTGAGACATTAGGACTTGATGTACAAAGTGAAACATTTATGTTGTAGTTTGAAATCTAGTAACATTATTAAATTATAAACTGTTATAAACTCTGATTAATTCAAACAATTTTGATTTGAATGCAGTTTATTTTGAATATTGAATTTAATCCTTTTGTGATGTGTTCAAGTTGTCATCTCACTGACTTACATGGTGTTTTTTTTTTCAGAGAATGTCGCACCACATGTAGAAAAGACAGATGATGTGGATGAACAAAGACGAGCTAAGAGAGAAGGAGAACGTGCTTCTCGTACTTCCAGAATGCTTTATGTACTTCAACAACAAGTGAGAGAGATCCAAGAAGAGCTTTCTAGGATAGGACCAGAAAAAGTGAAACACAATAAAAAGGTATGGTGTATAAGTAAATATAAAAAGCTTATATTTGAAGCATAAAAAATAAATAAGTAAATAAAATGTGTAAATAAACAAACAAAGAAACAAATTAGTAAGATATATATTAATAATAGAAAAAAGATACAAAATAAGATAAGAATGGATATATACTAATTCGATCAATATGATATGATGAAATTTACCTTTTGGTTGTTGGGTTCTAGAGCCGGACACTCCATCGTCTTGCTGCAGCTCACCGTGGTGCGGTGAAGGCTATACAGGCCTATGTAAATCATCTACCTGAAGAAGAAACCCGTCATGGCATGCCAAAACTGTATCAAGAACTTGCCCTGCTGATACGACAGCTTTCACTTTGCTGTGCAGAGCTTGAAGTTGGAGGAGAGTCTGGGGTGCCAGATGTGGTCAAGAACATACTGGGTCAAGCAGGGGTAATATTACATTGATTATTGCTTCCAAGTGTGCTTTAAGGTCTGCTAATGCTTTTTTACAAAGTATTCGCCAAGATATGAATGGAATTTTGTCATTTTTGTCTAACACTTCACCGGGCAAGAAAAACAAGTGAATGAGTTTATAGTGGTCAAGTTTTATTTATGGACTTTAGAAATGACAAGTCAGTAAAGAAACGAAATATGAATGGAATTTGAATTGTACAACTTTTTTCACAATGTTTAATTGTATGTCCTCTTTGTGGTAGTATTGATATCAGAACAATGTGGCTTATAGGTTTTTTTTCTTTTAGGATTTAAATGAGTCTATTGAAAAAGAGCTCCAGTCTTCCCCACTGTCTCCAAAGGCAAGGCGAGCATTACGTGATCAGTCTGAGAAACAAATTTCTCCTGTCAGTAGGCAGTTGTTTCCAGGTAAATGCAGCTACTCAGCACCTTCTGTGTTTTCCAAAAATACTTTCAAACAAACATAACATGAATTGGATATTATAATGTTATGGATATTAGTAGCAAAGAAACTGTGCAATACCATATCAAACTTGATATTTTTTTTGTCTTTTTGAGAAGAAGAGGCCATGTCAGCCAGAATAGGACCTGCCACTGTGGCAAGACTAAGACAAGACATGAGACGGAGTGGTAAGTAAAGCAGTTTCTTACTCTCTTTTAAAAATGTGTACAGTCTTATGAAATCTCATTAAGTATAGTTTAAGAATAGTCTTCAAATTGTTTAGTATAACATTTTCCAGAATACTACCTTATCCTAAATATTGTTTAGTTTATAGTATAGTCAAACAACATTTCTCTTAAAGCAGTCTACAACTCTCTCTTTATTATCACTTCCATAGATGTTGATGATACCCCTGATCGTGATAGAGTTCTAAGAGCTGGCATTGAGGCCCTGGAAAGAGCTTCTAGAAATAATCCTGCCAGAGACCAAAGACCAGTAAATCCACTAGTGAAAGAAGTTATAAGTCGTGAAAGAAGGCCATGGCAGCAGTCAGGAAGAGGACTTGGGGAAGAAGAAATTACTGGTATTGGTGGTGAAACTTGGAATGCTCCTTTTGATATAAGAGATAGAGGTGCTGGAGTGAGAGCAGGTCAAACAAGATCTGTTAAGAAAAGTGTACTGCTTCCGTCTAAACTTCAGGTAAGTTGCTAAATTTAAACAATCTGTATATGCTGTGGTGGACTATGCAAGTTGCGTTTGAACAAAAATCTTCATAGAAAAGGTTTGTGAGGGACTGTTGAAGGCTTCATCAGTTGCAGTCTGAATATCAGTGGTAAAAAATAGTCAAATGTAGGTCAATCTCCAACTCATAACTTTCTTTATCAGTCCCATTTTTTTTTCAGACACAGAGAATACAGGCACAGCATCAAGCAGCACCAATTTTAAACCAGGCACATTTTGCTGAACACACATATGCATCTAGAGCCAAAGTAGTTCACTCTCCTCGGCAGTATAGGGATAGAGCAGGCAGTCCACATTCTCCTAGGTATGGATAAAGTATTTTAGCAAGTGGATGTGTTCTTTTTTGGCCTAAAATTTTTTTTTTTTTTTGTATCATTGAATTTAATCAACATTTGTTTATTTGTATTTTTCTTTACTTAGATACTATTTGTAGCACAGTACTATTCTGTTTATGAATTATTGATGTTCTGGTTCTTACAGAAGCTCAAGTGCACCAGCAAGTCCAGAGAGACACATACACAGAGGAGAATATCCAGACTATCCCAGACCAAGAAGCCTGTCTTCTGACAGGAGTCCCAGAATTGGAGACAGGAGTCCACGATTAGGAGAGAGAAGGCCATGGCTGGATGAGAGAAGCCCAAGACCAATTTTAAGAAACCCAATGACTCCATACAGAGAAAGAGAAATTAGAAGGTACTGCCATAAATGATTCACTTGCAGAAGCAAGTTGTCTTCAACAGAAAGAAAATTTTCATTTTACAGATCTTGTTTTCTGATATATATGCTCTGATTTTAAGTAAAGACAAACATATGCATCCTACGACTTAGGGGAAGCAACTTGATGAATAGTTATTCATCCACAAACCAGGCAGTTTAAATTTGTCATTAGTTGTGGTCAACCCAGATATCACCAAATGTACAAATTGATTGATATTGGTTTTAAAGGATCTAATCTGCAGTAGGAGACCCTTATTAATTTGTTTACTTAATTGTTTGTCTACTTCATTCCAGGATTAAACCCTCAATTGTTGATTCATATCAAAGTGTTAGTGATCTGAAGTAATAGTCGTTCCTTTAAATTTCAAATAAGACAGATGCAATATTTGATATTTGTAGTAAACTTCTATTGATTTGTCTTGGGGTCAAAGTAGACAAAATGGATTGGTCAAAAAGTCCAGACCAACTGTCAGTCTGGTTTTCTTAAGATTCACTTCCCCAAATTAAGATAACATTACATTTAAAACACTAACATTTAAAAATTAAGAACTGCACAGATGAAACAAAACATTGATGGATATTTTCACTTGCAGACAACTATGGCTTGACAGAGAAGCTGCTAGACAGACCAGAAATACAGAGATGGCCAGACACTTAGAGCTTGATCGCTTCAGAAAGACCAGGTAAAATTTTGAATGTTTACTTATTATTTAATACTTGTTTTGAACTTAAGTAAGAAACTACTGAAAGTTTCTAAAGTCACTAATCCATCCAATTTATTATTTATTAGAGCTGAAAGACAACAGGCAAGAGAACTGGTATTTGAAGCTGAAGCTGAAATTAGGAGACGATTACAGCCATTACTAAAGCAAGCCCAGGTAACTGAAATATTATTCCTGGTAATAGCAAACATCAACACTACACATCTATACACTTAAGTTAACTTTATTGATATTGTCTATCTGCAAACATTAATTAAAGGCTTTTGTGCTGTTGCAGAGATAGGTGCTATACTTTATTACAGATCTTGCCACTTAGACGTGCCAATTTCATTACAAAAGGTTGATATTAATTGTACCACCAGCGTTAGCGCTGGCGGTACACATGGTTTCGGTCCCGTCCGGATCGTTCTGCCGGCTCCGCCGGACGGCTACCGTTACCGCTTCTCCTCCTAGGCGGTAAGGCCCCCCGTACCCATCTCTTGGATTTAGGTCACCTATAATCTCAACTCGTTCCACGTAAAATTTGGGCTTTGTCGGTATTGGGGTCTGGGTGTGGCACTCTTTGAAATGCACCCTTGTCCAAAAATGGCAAAATTAAATGCTAATTATCTACCCTACGGAAGGGGTTATGGGAAAAATTTCTACAGACGGCTTTCCAAAAGTCATATGTGTAGATTTCAAATATGCCCTTGGATTTGACCTTTGACCTTTACTTCAAGGTCAAACGGGCCAAAATTTTCAAAAAAATTAAATTTTTTACGAAAAAAATTTTTTTTGCCCTGTTATTCAGACACCACACAGACTTAACCAATAATATTATTGGAAAGTGTTACCCTTCA